TTATTTAAAATCCTTTCCTTTCCCTGAGGAGACTGATGAGGCCCCGCCTCCCTTGCCTCTAGTGACTGCATGTCCCTGGTTAGGTGTCCATAAAGGTAAAAGTAAAGGTTCCCCTCGCACATATGTGCTAGTCATTCCCAACTCTAGAGGGCGCTGCTCATCTCCGTTTCAAAGCCAAAGAGCCAGTGCTGTCTGAAGATGACTCCGTGGTCATGTGGTCAGTATGACTAAACAATGAAGTCACGCAGAACGCTGTTACCTTCCTACCAGAGGTGGTTCCTATTTTTCTACTTGCATTTTTTACATGCTTTCGAACTGTTAGGTTGGCAGAAGCTGGGACAAGTAACGGGAGCTCACTCTGTTATGCAGCGCTAGGGATCCAAACCACCAAACTGCCAACCTTTCTGATTGACAAGCTCAGCGTCTTAGCCACTGAGCCACCGCATCACGTAATATGTGAAGCTGGTGGGAACCCTAGGAGAACCATATAGACATCTGAAATGGCTGAGGACTTTTGAGTTTATCAGGAAAGAGGAATACAGAGTCATGTTCTGTTTATTTCTTTCAACACCTGATAGGCTGCTATTTGTCGGCAGCTTGAAAATATTCACGTAGGATAAACACAAGAGTACGCCACCGTGTGGCTCAGTGCTCACGAGGTTAGAACACAGGGTTGGCGATTGGCAGGCTTGCGTTCGAGACCCGCTGCTGCTTCAGGATGGGATGAGCTCCCATCACACGCTCCAGTTCCTGCCAACCCAATGGTTCAAAAGCAGTGACTATGAGTAGATAAATGGGTACCACTTTGATGGGCAGCTTCATGGAGATATGAAAGGAGCTCCCAGCTGGGCGTCCCCCCTGCCAACGATGTTGACATCAACAGGTCCTTTCCTCACAGAAGCACTGAAGTATTAGCATTAAATGGTTTAACAAACTCAGGGAGAGTTATTATCTACTAGTTCCAAAAGAATTTGAAGCCTGCATAACCAGGGGCAATCTATCACTTGAATGCAATTGCTGGGGGAAATGACAGGGAAGAGATGCTGCCTTCATAGTTTGTATGTGGGTTGACTGTTCTGAAACTGGGCTTGAGTTTACATTGGGCCTTCATAGCCTGCCACATTTTGTACTGTGGGAAAATGGGAGGAGGCAGGGGTGAAATCCAGCAGGTTCTGACAGGTTCTGGAGAACCAGTAGCGGAAATTTTGAGTAGTTTGGAGAACCGGCAAATATCACCTCTGGCTGGCCCCAGAGTAGGGTGGGAATGGAGATTTTGCAGTATCCTTCCCCTGTCACGCCCAACAAGTCATGTCCACAGAACCAGTAGTAAAAAAAATTGAATTTCACCACTGAGAGGTGGGATTATATGAAGTATGGGAGATATATAGTCTAAATAAAATTCCTTTCCATTCCATAAAATGGAACTTTGAGGAAATTCAAGCCTCGGAGTCTTCTTTCATTGGGGGTGTTACTTGGAACCCTGAGACCTTGCTCTGCTCTAGCAGGACTTCTCTCAGTTTCTCTAGGTTGACGAGATTTCTTTTGCTCTTCCAGTGACAGGCCGAGCCAGTGAGGAAATGGTTGCTGACTGTGGCTGAATCCACAGCTGCCAGAATATGCAGCCCAGAGGCGTTCCTGGCAGTGCAAAGGCAGCGGACTGCGCCAAGGAGCTGATCACCACGTTGTGCACGGGGGTTGTGGCCGGGAGGCATGGTGACAACTTTCAAGATTGCCGTGCTGGGTGCTCAAGGGGTCGGAAAGAGTGCCATTGTCCGCCAGTTCCTGTACAACGAGTTCAGCGAGGTCTGTGTCCCCACCAAGGCCCGCCGTGTCTACCTACCTGCCGTGGTCATGAATGGCCACGTTCACGACCTACAGATCATGGACTTCCCGCCCATCGCCTCTTTCCCTGTAAATACCCTGCAGGTAGGTGTCCATCCCACCTGTCAGACTTCAAAAAGGATACTCTCACTGCCAGCTAAAGGTTGCTCTGAATGAGGTGGGCAGTGTCAGCATCCGAGGTCTTCCAGGTGGCTGCTCCTGTAAGTGGAGAATTCAGAAGAAGGCTATGCCCAGTCTTCCAGAAGTAGATTGAAAGATCCGTGGCGATACTCTACATTTCCATGGAGAAAAGATTAGAGTGAGTAGTTCATGGGGTATACATGCTGCCGGGGGAGGAAAATTTTGCATCCACTCTTACACCCCCTTTTAGAACATATCCTTGGCGATGTACGCTAAGAAAATAAATAGGGCTGCACCAAAACGTGTTTAGCAGATTGAGTTCTAAGGCAGTTCAGTCCATTTGGAATCCTTGGTCTCAAGAGAACATTTCTACTCTTTGTCCAGTGGCAACATTCATGTGTGGAGCATGCTAGTTTTCTATCTTTGCATTAATTATTTGGCTTTTCTTTTGGCTTGTTTCATTGGAAAATTAAGGCTGATAAAGGCAAGGCCGAAGTGGATAATCAGTTAGGTTTTCACAATTGATTGAATGCAGTTACTTTAACCCTGTACATAATGTGTGCTGTTCTCTAAATCTAATATCTGGATCATAGACTCTTTTATAATTTTTCACAATGCATTAATCCCTCTAATGGTCCAATTTAGTATTTTGTGAAGACCAGGCTACTGAGTGAGACCCATTGGTGCAAATAATTCCATTGTCTCTTTTCATAAGAAGGAAATCTCTATAGCAGGAAAAACTCCCTAATTCTTTTCACTGTTAAAACTGGGGAATAACTCAGATGTTTGACCACTCAGCTGTCATCTGTCTGCCTAGTGACCTCCAGAAGATGCAATTTCAGTCGCAATCTTGGTTGACCCAATATTAAAACTATCCAGATTTAGCAAATTGTGTGAATGCTGGTGACATGGTTAAGCATGTTATCTGAATATATCCATTGAGTAAATGATAATCCTTATAAAAATATACTCCTCTCTGAGAGGATCTGTGTAGGTTTGTTGCTAAAAGTTGACATCAACTTGATAACACATAATCCATCAGTTGATAGCTGTATAATAAAGGCCATTATGGTCAGTCTCTAAATCCAGGAGAGGTAAGAAAGGATGGAGAGAAGCATTGAGTCCACAATTAAGCATGGATTTCAATGAGAGTCATCCAGATCAATGTTCTTAGCTACCACTATCCAGCACAGTTCATTTATCTGGGTTTGGTAACAGAGTATTCAGTATACTGATTTGTATTCACAGCATTTGTCATTGATCAAGTTGGCTAAAGGTACTGGGAGTTGTATCTGAGCAACATTCTTTCAATCAGCCATACTTTGTGGAGACCTTGGTGATCTCTGAGCTTGGTAGTTTTCTTGCAGATTCCCAATTTTCATTACCACCCTGGGTAACACCATCAGCCTAATTACCTTGCACTGATACCTAGTTACCTTGTACTGATGATGTTACCTAGTTGGGTAATGAAACATCTGCAAGAAAACTACCAAGCTCATAGAGCACCAAGGACGGCACAGTTCAACCCTGTGCTATAAAGTTTCTATAAGCCATGCTTTATATGGTTTTCTATTGATTATGGACAAACTTGAAGAGATTTTAATGAATTTTATAGGAAATATTAGGCTAATCATCTCTCAAGAAAAAACTGTCTATAGTCTTTTATATGGCAGATGGACGAGCAGCAGCAAGGTGGATGGACTAAGTCACAATGTCTATGAATGCACAGTTGGAAAATCTGCAAAACCAGGTTAGGGGCAGATGGTCATGGAGAAAATCTATG